TGCATGCTAGGACAGTACCATGCCAATGAGCCACAATCTGAGTCCCTTCGGGCTTTTTAATGACAGCCAGACTGTTTTAGCACTAAGGCCAAGTTTTTCTCCTTGAGAGGCTATGTTTGAGAGACAGCCCCCTGACATTCTCCCTGCTATATTATGCCACTGGGTTGTCATTAGAGGGTGGTCTAATTTTCTTCCAGGAGGGCAGGCTTGCCTCTTTTCTAACAGTTTGTAGTCTCAGCACCTTGGCCAGGGTCTGGCAAATAATGGACACTCACAGCATGTTAGTCGAAGGTGCTATTGAGCAGCTGCCAGCTTAATCCTCCTAAAATGCTGCCTGGGTTAGAAGCTTCTCCATCACCTGCCGGGCAAGGGCCAGTCTCCTCAGACCGCATGAAGGATTTTTTCAGTGCAGTCCTACACTGACTGGCTTTACCAGCCTTATTTGTGTCCATCCACTTAGCTGTTCCCACAGTCATTCCCTCCATGCAGGAACCTTTACACATGCTATCCCAAAGCTGCCCCATTCTCACAGCTCATCTCAGCGGTACTTTCCTACCCCCAAGCTTGACCTGCTCTTCCCAAGTGCTATGATTTGGATAATAAAAACTCCCCAAAGGTTGATGGATTAAAGTCTTGGTCCTAGTTTGGAGCTCTTGGGAACTTTTAGGCATGGAGTCCTATGGCAGTTTGTTGTGTTCTTGGGGCTCATTTTTTTGGTTGCAAGTTCCCAATCTCTCCTTTTCTTGTTCTTCCCAGCCATTAGGTGTCCAGTTTTACTCCACATACCCCGCAATGTGCTGCCTTTCCATAGCCCCAAAGCAACAAGCCCAAACAATAGTGGACCTCCAAAAGTGGTGAGCCAGAATGCATCTTCCCTCACTTCTATTTTTGAAGACAGAGCCTCACCATGTATAGCCTTGACTTGCCTAGGATTCACTGTGTAGACCAGGCTGGACTCACACTCATAGAAATCACCTTGCCTCTGCCTCCCAAGAGTTGGGATTAAAAGTGTACACCACCACACCCAGCTAAGCCTTTTTTCTTTATAAGGTGTTTGTGTCGGATACTTTGTTACTCTGGCAGAAAGTTGACTAACATACTCAGGACTTTACCTTCTTCTCAGTTGTTTTAGTCTGTTTTGTTGGGAACTTCAAAAGAGGTCATGGAGCTATGGGTACTTAGCGGTAGAGGACTTACCTAGAATGTATGGAATCGAGGGTTTGACCACAGTAACACACACACACACACACACAAAGGCCAACGGCTTTGTTTGCTGTCATTTGTCACTAGACTCTGCATGGACTCAAGGCAGATTCATGTATACAGTATGCCCCTACCACCTATGGCATGCTGTTGCATGAAAGTGGCCATTCCTTTCTCTGTCTTTATCAGAAGTTCCAGTGCTCTGTTGGCCTCATGTTGGAATGGGACTAAAGCTACCAAATTGACCTTCTATTCCTTGAAGGTTTCTAGGCATGGCTTCAGGCTCCAAGTCCCATTGCCTGCTGGGGGGAGGGGTAGGTGGTAGATTCCCCTGGACTTAAGAGATGGATCAGATTGTCTGGGGAAGCTGGGCATTCGTAAGGACAAAAGGGTGAACTCAGATTTACAGAGATTGGGTGTCACGGATGGTCTTAATGGTTTCCAAGTCCAAGTAGTCCTTCTCCTTCCAACAGAGGACTCCTTCTGGGGTGAATCCTGGAGAGACTCCAGGGTTCTTTCCTAAGGAGCTTGGGGAACATGGGCAAGGTTGAGCACCTGTTCCTAGGGGCAGCAGATTGTATGTATTCTCAGGTCCTTCTCCCCTTTGTCTTAACTGATGATACTCATGTGACCTCTTTTATGGACAGTACCTGTCCTCAAACCGAATTCCCTTTGAACTACTGTTTGAAGGATTTATTTATTATTGTATGTGTGTGAGTGTTTTTTATCTGCATGTATGTGCATGTACCATGTGTGCAGAGCCCATGAAGGGTAGAAGAGGGTGTCAGATCATCTGGGACTAGAGTTACAGCTATGAGCCACCAAGTGGGTGCTGGGAATCAAACCTGAGTCCCTGGAAGAGCAGCCAGTGCTCTTAACTGCTGAGCCCTCTCAGATGAGGTCTTACAGCCAGGCCTGATGTGCAGATGTATAATCCCAGCCTCCTGAGAGACTGAGGCAGGAAGATTCACAAGTTCAAGGCCAACTTTAGCAATTTAATAAGACCCAGTATCAAAATAAAAGTGAAGAGAGGGAAGGAAGAAGGGAGAGAGGGAGAAAAAGAGAGAGAGTGCTATATTGCCCTGGCCTCTAAATATTCAACATCTTCTGGGCTCAAATAATCCTCCTGGAATCTGGGTGTCAGTGAGGAGGCCTAGGTAATCTATTGAGCCTTGGGCAGCAGATCAGTACCCATCCCAAGTATACACACGGACTTTGGACTCCCATAGAACAATGTGAGGTGCACTCTCACCCTGAACTCTTGGGGAAGGGTCTAGGCCCTGCCCTATATGAAATGACAGACTATGGACACCCCCATGGAGGGCCTCACCCTCCCTGGGGGAATGAGGGGATAACTGGGGGGGTTGGGGGAGGGCACGGGAGGAGGGGAGGGAAAGGGAGAGGGACCTGGAACTGACTTGTGAAGCAACCTTGTTTCTTATCTAAATTTAAACTGGAAAATAAAATAAAAAAAATAATCCTCCTGCCTCAGCCTCTTAAGTAGCTGGGTCTGAAAGCTCCTGCCATTGCATCCAACTAGAAGGGATTTTTTTTTTCAAATGTTACTGCCTTGCTCACTGTTCTTCCATGCTGCCCTTCCAAACTCCATTTTCAGGAAACCAGCAGCCCTCACATCCCTGTCCCTCTAGGCTGGCCACTTCTACTGATGTCTTACTTTAATGTCCAACCATGCCAGACCCCTTGCAGTCCCCCTCCTATGCTGCATGCTGTCTCCTCTGCCTGAATTGCTGTGTCACCTTCCCCATGGCCTACTTATGAAAGCACTTTCTTTGGGAAGACCTCCTGGTTCCTTGAAGACCCCTCCTCTTCCTTTCACCCTGTATGACGCTGAGCTTATGGCTGTGCTCCACCCATCCCCACCTCCACATGCTTGCCCAATCAAACCATTTATAGAGGACAAAGTGTGAGTCTTACTCATGTCTGTACTTTCAAAGATCTCCCCTAGTATTGAATAAGAACTCAATAACTGTTCAGTGGTTTCATGGAGCCTGCAAAGGTACCTTCCCTAGGAGGGGGTGACTGAGTTGAGTGTGTTGCTATGAGCTGTCCCACAGGCTGGAGAAGAGAAAGTACGTGAGGAACAGCTGGGAGTCAGTGGGTGCTGGGCTGCTGGACATCTCGCAGAGTGGCCATCTCTTCCATACACCTGCCTCCGTGTCTTTCCAATTCCTCTGCAACCAGGCTTTCTGAGCTATCTCTGCTGCGGAAGTCTGAGTGTTAACAGAGTCAGCACCATGCATGTTATATCAAGTCAACGGTAGCAGGGCCAGGAGAGGCAAGGACCGTGGCCTCCGGGCCCAGCAGCTGCTTATTCTTGTAGGCTTCTTTTCACAAAGATTCCAGCCTCTCTTCTGTCCCCTGAAGGCTGTTTTCAAAATCACACCCCCATGCCGACAGTTTTATTTACAAGGAAATCTTGGCAGGATCTTGACTTGTTAGTAGAGTAGGGATGGGGGAGGGTGGTAAGAAACAAAAATAGTTGAAATGATCACACTTTCTGAAACCGAGATGAAAATTGGTGTCTGTTGCAAACTCACCTAATTAGGATGGGACTAATTTTCTTCTGTGTTTAAGGGGAGTAGTCTTTGCTGGGCGAGATGGTCACAGGTTGGATCCTGGGGCTTTGTGATGAAGTTACATTTGTCTTATGAAAATGAAGGCGTTAATTACAACTCCTGCTAATAAAACAGATGCTTCCCTCTGACAGGAGGTTGAGAAGGGTGAAGCTGATGGGAAGAGGCTAAAGGGCATAGCCTTGGTTCTATATGTGGACTGCCTGGGGGACTGCACCAGGAATGGGTCCTCCAGCCTTCCTTGGGGAGCATCTACCCCAGCCTGGGCACTGGCACAAATTATAGTCATTCCGGAAGGCCGCCTTTTCCCGCAGGGAAACTGCCCTCCACTCTTCTTTAAAGATCTATTACTGCTTTGCTAACTTCATTCCTGATTTTTAGTTTTAGTTTTTCCTCCCTCTCCTGCCCTTCTCTCTGGCGGGGCGCTTTCCTGGGTTTAACATGGTCAAGAGGCATGAGCAGGACTTGCAGCTCTCGATGGAGGTAGGGCAAGGTTAGGGTTTGGGGTCCCAGACCCTCTGACTTTTCTTTCTTACATTCCTAGGCTTCCCCCCCCCCAAGAATCCGAGACGGCAGTGAATAAAGGACGTGAGGGTGGCTGGTGGGACCCACTCCTCATCTCTCACTCTCAATTCAGTCCTGGTTAACCCTGATGTGGCCAATTCGTGGGAACCTCGCTTCTGATTCAGTCACACAATCTGCCGCCTCCAAGTGATGGTCAACCAGGTGCCGAGCTGAGAAGGCTGAGGGTAGGTAACACAGTCCCTATCCCTGGGAGAGGAGCAGCCGCTCGCTGCCCGCCCCGCCGCAGCCTGCCCTCCCTCGTTCCCTCCCTCCTTCCCTCCCCGCGGGCGGCCTGGGGGGCGGGGGCCCCGCGAGCAGCCCCGCCCCCGCTGCGCGCCGCCCCGGAGTAGTCCGTGGGGAGGAGGAGGAGGCTCGCGCTCAGAGCGGGGGCTGCGCGGAGCGGGAAGGAGCGCGGGGAGCTGTAGGGCCCGGCCGGCCCAAGGGCGCCCTCGCCTCGGACCCGCGGCGGAGGCGGAGAAGTTTGGCGGCTCGGGGCCCGGCGCCCCGGGGTCGCGGGGGCCGCGGCGAGGGCGGCGCGGAGAACAGGGCCATGGGGATGAGCGCGGAGGTGGCGAGGCGCGCAGCGAGCTCCCGGAGCGACGCGGCCGCTGTGGCGCAAAGTTAGCCCGGCGCCCCGGGACGAGCGCCGCAGCCTGGGCCATGGGCGAGCACCCCAGCCCCGGCCCCGCAGTGGCCGCTTGTGCCGAGGCGGAGCGCATCGAGGAGCTGGAGCCCGAGGCCGAGGAGCGACTGCCCGCCGCTCCAGAAGACGTGAGTGCCCCCTCCTGTGCCCCTCAAACTTTCTGGGGGTAGCCACGCGGGGAGCCGCCGGGGCCTCAGCTCCTTACCCTGGGGGCAACTTGGAGGCTTCAAGGTTATGTCACCGGAGCGTCCGGGATGAGCTAGGGGCCCCCGCGCGTAGGAGGGTTGGGTCTCCCTAAATGAACCGGCGCGTTCCCAACCCCGCTCGGATTCCCACGGCTTCCCTGCGGGACACAGCCCCGGCAGCTGCGTCGGGAACCTGTGGGCAGCGGGAACCCCCTCCCCGCCGCTGGTGCAGTGCCCGGGACACGGCGTTTTCCTGCAGAGGCGGCCGCGTCATTGTAGTGACTCCCCCTCCCCTCCCCTCGGCGACCTGCGGACTCTGCAAACCCCGGAAAGGAACCGACGCCCCAGGCTCTGGACAGCGCAGATCAATCTGGAGACCCCCCTCCCCTTCGCGGCTCCCAGATTAGCTCCCGCCCGGCATCTGCCTTGTCGCGACACTGATTGAAATTCAAAGTGGCCTTAGTCCCTGAACCCTGCCAGAGCTAGGAAAGCCAGAAAGCTGGGACGAAACGCTCCCAGCAGGGGGCTCAGGAGTCCTAGAACACGTCGGTGCCAGGAATGGTCCCATGGGGCAGGCTAGAGAGGGGCTACCCCAGAGGGTTTCTCTGCCATCTGCTGCTCAGATCTCTAGTCCGGTTGTCCTCGGATCCTAGGTAGGGAATCTGAACTGGGAGGCTCTGGGCACTTGAGTTGTTAAAACTACTCCCTCCCTGCACCCTGCTCTGACCTGTCCCTCCCCTTGGGTGAAATTAAGCGGGGAACCCCAGCCTACGGAAACCACAGCCAGCAAATCTGAATGGACCGGGAGCCTAACATCTCTCCCGCGTGTGTGGTCAAGCCTGTCACTTTCTCTTGGCCCTAACTCCTGAGAGAGTCTTATGTACTCAGTACTTACACTCAGTCTTGGAAGCATATTGGGGAGCACCCACACACACAAAATCAAGCAGGCAAAACTAGTGCTCAACGATAGCCTCCAAAACAATACAGAGAAACCCTGTCTGGTAAAGACAAAACAAAAACTAGTGCTCAAGCAGGGGTAAGTCTCTTGAGTACAGTCGGCCTCTGGGTGTGGATGTGGACCTGACCTTTTGGTAGCTGAAGTTATCAGAAACCCTGAGCCATGGTTGGGAATCATTCCTGCATCTGACTGTCCCACCCCATTGCCATTCCGTACTGTGCGTTTCTGCCTTTGCTCGGCTGGGGAATTTTCGGTGTTCTTCTGGTGGGCCCCTGAGCCTGCTGGGCAGCAGCTGGGAGGTGAATGTTGGAAACCTCAGGGGTCTGCAGAAACCTTGGTGACAAGTGCCTTTCTTTCTCTTCTTCCTCTCCTGCATGGCCTCCCTCTCTACCAGCACTGGAAAGTCCTGTTTGAAAAGGTATGTGAGCAGTCAAATCCCTCCTTCCCTCCCAGCCCTGCCTGAACCGGTGTCAGTCTCCCTGCTTGCTTGCGTGGGCTTCCCTAGCTCTGTGCTCCTAAAACGGTGACGTCCTTTGAAGGCGTGGCTTAGTATTTTCTAGGGCGGAGCCACACTGCTCTGGGTATCCAGAGACCAAGTAGGCTCCCTAGAAACAATCCTTTCCTCTCTCCAAATTCTTCTTGTATCATGCCTGGATTTACACCACTTAGGAATTGGACAACATGTATAAAGTTTTCTATATGCAAGTGCGTTGCAGAAAGCGGTGGGGGAGGTGCTTAAAAAACCATCGAGCTCCCTTTCTGCTCCTATTATGAAAAATGTTGTGTGTGTGTGTGTGTGTGTGTGTCCCGCCCCCCCCAGTAACATAAAATCTCTGTCATCCTTGAGGAGGAAGGTTTGTTCACAAAATGGGTTCTTTTGAAGGCTAATCTTGTGTCTCATTCTGCAGTGAGGATTGGCCAATGCTGAACCATTTACAAATGAAAAACAGTATGTGATTATTTGTAGTGCCTGGAGTATAGGCGTGAGGAATGGAGTTAGAAACTGGAGATGGACATTGACCTTCATCAAGGAAATAGTTCTTTTTTGCTTGGTACTTGGGTACTATTGGGTATTTCCATGCTTGTACCGTAGTGCAGGAGAAAAGATAGGAAGGTGTTCCAGTGTGGGTGGATACTGCACACTTCAGTCACAGCCCAGGGTAACTGTGCCACGAAGTTTGTGCAACTTGAAGAAATATGCTTGATTAAGCTAGGCATGGTGGCACACACTTGTGATGCCTACATTTGGGAGGTAGAGGCAGGACAGTCAGGGTCATCCTTGGCTATAGAGCTACTTTGAGGCTAGCTTGGGTTAGTGAGTAGGGAGGTGGGTACGAAAAGACATCTTGACCCAGACCTTTGTTGTAGGTGGAGAAGTTTTCAAAAGCTTCTGTCGGCTTCTTAATGTGTATGGGTGTTTTGACTGTATGTGCACCGTCTATGTGAAGTGCCTTCTGAGGCCAGAAGAGAGCTTCGGGCCCTCTGGGACCGGAGTTACTGGTGCTTGTGAGCTGCCATGGGGTTGCTGGAAACGGAACCTGGGTCCTCTAGAAGAGCAGCCATCTCCTGCTCCCTCCCCTCCTTTAAAGCAGGGTTGTTGTAGGATCCAGGTGAGACAGTCGATGTGGGATACAGGATGACAGAACTGCAAACAAGCAGCTCGTGTTAGCCAGCTTTCCACTGTCAGTATAGGAAGAGAAGAGATTTGGCCTGTAGTTTTGGATTTTTGGGGGGCAGGGGGGTGTTTCTTATTTTTCTTGACAGGAGACAGGGTTTCTCTGTTTAGCTCTGGCTCTCCTAGAACTCCATCTGTAGATCAGGCTGGCCTTGAACTCAGAGATCTGTCTGTCTCTGCCTTCTGAGTGCTGGATTAAAGGAGTGAGCCATGGCCTGGGTGGTTTTAGAGATTTTTCATGATTGGATGGCCCCTGCAAGCAGTAGACCAAAGCAGAAGTATGTAGTGGAGTGAAAGCTACTGGTCTCTTGACCGTAGGGCCAAGAGAGGGGAGAGACTGGAGTCTTACAGCTCCCTTCCAGACACACCCAGTCATTTAAAGGCTTCTTACTTGACCCAGTAGTTCCAAGCTAAAGATCAAACCTTTAACACATGTCACTTTGAAGGTGAGGTTAGAAAGGAGAGATATGGTGATAGGAGACTAGGAAGATATTAACAGACCCGGGTACCCGAGGGGAACCACATCCCCAACTGAGACTCTGAACTTAAGGGGAGAGGAAAAAGTGGGGGTGGGGTTGACAAAAACCAACAGCTTTAGTTACAGAAAAGTTTAATGTGGGGAGCCTGCCAAATGCAATTGCCCCATGGGACTGAACATGTGGGCTTATGGGGGAAAGAGTCTGGGTGAGGATTTTGGGGGATGTAAGCCCTGCTGCCTGGCTCCCATCATGAGGGCCACCTACTCTCCCTCTGGTCCCTAGGAATATCCCAGCTGCCGGCCTGACATCTCCAGGCAGGAGGGAGCCATGGTACTGCCACTGTTACTCTTCGCACCAGGCTGCCAGCCCTTCACACCTCCCGCCAGATTTAGACTGAGAACCTAGAACAGAGTGTATCTTTCTTTCCTCTGTGTCTTTCACATTTGACTAATTTACTTTGCCAGTTGCTATGTGTGTATTTACATTTTAAAACAAACCATTTGGGTGAATGGAAGAGAACTTCCAGAGGGAAGTGTGTGCAGCTGGAGGGTGTGTGGCACTCAGTATCAGCCATCAGTTGATAAAATCCTACTGGAGGCAAGTCCTGGGCATCGTGTAGAACATCCCCCTGCTTCTGGAGAGGCCCACTCAGAAAGCCTCCTAGACTGGGGATGTAGCTTAATGGGAGAGTGCTTGCCTAGCATGCACAAGGCCCTGTGCTAGATTCTCAGCACTGCAGAAATGAAAATAAATAAATAAAAGGAAAACCAATCAGTCATTTTGACAGACAAAATGAATTCTAGGAAAGCAGCCACCAGGTCTTACACTGAGCCATTTTTCTCTTGCAATAAGTTCTGTCTGATTCCTTCTTCCTTCCTTCCTTCCTCCTTCCCTCCCTTCCTTCCTTCCTTGGTTTTTGGAGACAGGGCTTCTCTGTGTAACAGGTCTGCCTGTTGTGGAACTCACTTTGTAAACCACTTTTCTTTTTTAAGATTTCTTTTATGTTATACACATGGTTGTTTAGCCTACATGCATGTCTGTGGACCGTAGAGTCCAAAGAGGGCGTTGTTTTCCTGGAACTGGAGTTACAATTGTTAGATGCCATGTGGGTTCTGGGAATTGAACCCAGGTCCTTTATAAGAGCAGCCAGTGCTCTTAACCACTAAGCCATCTCTCTAGCTCCATGCCTGAATCCTACTGTTTGCCCCTCACAAGGCATCTAAAGCCTGATCCTGCCTGTGGCTCTTCTGTGTTTTAGGTTCACTGCTTCAGAGCAGGGCTTTGGGCTCTGTCCCATGTGCGGGCCCTGTGCACTCACTGCCCTGACCTTTTGACCCTCTCTAACAGGGCTAAAGGAAGAGCTGGTGTGAAGCTCCTTCAGTAGACACTTGGCCTCAGGCCCATATCAGGTTTTTTCCAAAGCAGGTTTGCCTTTCCTGCCTCTGTGTCTGCCTAGAAGTAGGATTTTGCCATTGGTGAACTTGGTGACCACTGGAAAGAAAGTTTGGCTGGAGATGGCAGGTAGGTTGCCAAGCATTTCCTACAAAGGTCAATAGTCTTGCTAGGCTATCGGTTGCCAAGCATTTCCTACAAAGGTCAATAGTCTTGCTAGGCTATCTAGTTAGTGAATTGATGAGTTAGTGAGACATGGCACCTGTCACAGTCCCTGCAAGCCCATGGCATCCATGAATTCACCTCCCAGAGATTGTTAGTGATGTTGTTAGGGATAGAGTCTGGGCCTTGACTGTAACGTCTATTCTTTCCCACCAGCTGGCCGGGTCCCGCCACTGTCTCAGCCCCCAAATAACACATGAGAAACTGTATTAATTATGAAGCTGTTGGCTGTTTACTATGCTTTCTCTTTCTTTCTTTTTTTTTTTGTTTTTGTTTTTGTTTGGTTTTTTGTTTGTTTGTTTGTTTTTGAGATAGGGTTTTTCTATGGCTTTGGAGGCTGTCCTGGAACTAGCTATTGTAGATCAGGATGGTCTCAAACTCACAGAGATCCTCCTGCCTCTGCCTCCCAAATGCTGGGATAAAAGCCGTGTGCTATGGTTTCTTAATGGCTAGCTCTGACTTAATTATTAACCCATAATTACTAATATATATATATATATATTTGTTTTTTTTTTTTTTTGTTTTTTCGAGGCAGGGTTTCTCTGTATTGTTTTGGAGGCTTTCCTGGAACTCGCTTTGTAGACCAGGATGGCCTCGAACTCACAGAGATCCACCTACTAGGATTAAAGGCGTGCACCACCAACGCCCGGCAATATATATATATATTTTATAAGATCTTATCTTACCAAGCATGCAGCCTCATGTGTCCTCTCTTACTGGGATCACATGGTGACTCTACTCTTGACTACATTTCCCAGAATCCTCCTCAACTCCTAATCCCACCTGTCTTGCTTCCCTGTTGGTCAACAGTGTCTTATTTATCAACCAATAGGACAAAATATACACAGAAGGACTTCCCCCATTACTTGACAACCCTAACAAGCAGGACTTGGCCACTCACCCTCCATAGGTCAGTTAAAACAAACACACAGTAAAAAGTAGAGAAGGGAGCTTTATTCAAGGTGACCACCTTGGGAAGAGCAATAAAGAGATCTAATGTTCCTCAAGTTCATCTTCTGTGCATAGACATTTGGGTTTCAGTATTTATGACAGCAAGAAATATGCATAAGTAAGCCATCATGGTCAAGGTGTGTCTAGTTGTAAGGACTGTGTCTTAGTTAGGGTTTCTATTGCTGTGAAAATACACCATGACCACAGTAACTCTTACAAAAGAAAACATTTAATTGGAGCAGGCTTACAATTTTAGAGGCTTGGTCCATTACTGTCACGGCGAGAAGCATGGCAGCATGCAGGCAGACAGATGCTAGCGAGGGGCTGAGAGCTCTACACTAGATCTGCATGGGGAGGGAGAGAGAGAGGGGAAGGGAGGGAGGGGGCCTGGCTTGGGGATTTGAAACCCAAAGCCCACCCTCAGTAATATTCAAGGCCACACTGACTCCAACAAGGCCACACTGACCCCAAAAGACCATATATCAAATGTTTGGTCACCAGGGAGTAGCACTATTAGGTGTGGCCTTTCTCATTGGGACCAGACTTCAACCTTTTCTCCTGGGAAAATTCCTGAGAATTGGGAGCTGACCTGGTTAGGGTTACTATTGCTGTGATGAAACACCATGACCAAAGCAACCTGGGAAGGAAAGGGTTTCTCTGGCTTACACTTCCACGTCACTGTTCATCACTGAAGGAAGT